GTGTGCATTTCAGATTTGCATAACACCAGGTGGCGCATAATTATCTTCTGCTTCTTGAAGAAAGAAAAAGACAACTCAGTATTTCAAAAATCTTCACACATGATTATCATACAGTATTACAATGTATTATGTGCAAAATTCCATTTTAAAAAATCATTTACAAAAGGAAGTACAACACAGTATGTGCTGAGGGTTCTAGATGTACAGCAAAAGCTAAAAAAGGTACAAGGTACAAAGCCAACCAAATTAGATGACGATGCATCTTTACACAGTACAATAACATGTTCTTGTGACTACCTTTGTCACGTTGATACAGGACCCTCATATTTGGTGCACCCCCAAACAGGTCTCATAAAACATAAAGTTAACTTCACCATACATTCTTATAACACAGATGGGCTTTTTGGGGGCATCGCGACCTCTTTTCCAAACAGCATCTTATTTCACTCAATGGAAGTCACATTATACACATGTGGTTTCTGCCCCCAAATAATTTGATGCTGTTAGTTTTGATTTATGTGGAAAAGGTGGGGGGAGTGTTATCCTTATTTTTTTTCCCCCTCCTCTGGGGGTTTTCAAAATTGTTTCCAAAAGCAAATAACGTTGGACAGATTTTGCCAAATCTCACTGCATATTTACAGTATTTCAGCATAAGTGGATCCTTCCATTTCCTTTTACCACTTCCTTCCAGGAGTCTGAACCCGCAGACTTCACCCATTAGTCCTTTGTTAGAGTCTGTTTTTCTCTCTCGACCTCTCTCTACATTCATTTCTCTCCTGATCCTCAGCATCACTTGGTTAACACACAAAAGAGCACAATACCACTGAACGTGAACAAGGTAACAGTACATCAGATTTCCAAAGGCATTCTGTGGCCAGTGTCAGTAATATATTGCTTTAAGAAATCCAGCAGTCTTTCTCCACAAAGTTGCCAAAAATCCAGTTACAGAAGAGAGACATTTTAAAAATGTGATACTCTCAAATCCAGCAAGAGATTTCTTTTCGAATATTAAATGTTAAAATCACATGCATAATTATAGAATATTTTAAAGTTACAAAAATATTTTAAAAACCAATCCTGACAGTTTACCTGCAACTGCTATAAAAATTTCTATGAAATATATAAAAACACAAAGGCTCTTTGTAAAAAAAAAAAAAAAGAAGAAGACAAAGAAAAGAAAGAAAAAGGAAGGATGGAAGGAAGGAAGGGAGGAAGGAAAGATAGAGCCATCCACAGAACTGAGATATACCTGATGCACTGCATCGGACAGGCTTCGCAAACACCTGCTGTTGAATTGAAGAGAAGAGCTTGCACCCTAAATGTTTATTCAGGACATATACGTACATGTGAGCCCACCTAGAACCTGGCTGGGGGGGTCGGTAGCAAACAATCTCGGGACACCTAAACTATCAAATGCAGTTCTTCCATCTCTGAAGGAGAATCCTACCGTTTCATGAACCTCAGCTACCTTGCCTGGGCAATGTGGCTAAGGACGCCCTTGGCCCAGTCAGCCTGTGGATGGCTTAGTCACTGAACCGACGGGTCCCTAAGGAGGTGACTGACTGCTTTTCAAGCACAAGCACGTGGAAGCCAGAAGGCAAGTTTCCTAACCCCCCTTTGGATGCGCCATGGGGGAGTCTCGTCTCTTCTATGAGGTGGTGAGATCTTCCCCATTCTGGAAAATGACGCCGTAAGGATCGTTCTTGACGCGCTTGTAGACAAAGTGGAAGATGTGGGGTTGTGGCCGGCTGTGAAGCTCAGCCTTGATTTTCTGAGGGTAAGTGTCCTCAGCCAGCTGCTGCCACGTTTCGTCAACAAAGAGAAAGAGGCTGTACTCCTCAGGGTCCCCCACCTTGAACTTCTCAGCACAGAGCTGGCACACGTCCTCGGTGGTCACGTAAGGTCTCACGAGGAGGGTCTTCCCCGTGCAGCCACTGTTGACCTCCTGGAACGCAACTCGGAGGTAATTCTGCAGGTAGAGAGATGTGGGAGACCAATCAGAAGAGAAAACGAGTCACAGCAATAAGCCAGCACGACGGTGCAAGGGCAAATTTAACTCGTGAGCCGCGCCCGGCTCTGGCTCTGCAGAAGGGCCCCGCAGGACGGCCCCGGCAGGACGCAAGGCCTCGGGTGGGACGAAGGAGGCTGATCGGAATTTGGACAATGGAGGCAAGAACTATACGGACTGAGTGGCTGTATTCTGATGTGCTGCAAATAAATACAAGGAGCAGGAAGTCCAGCAGGCCTGTTCTGATCTTTTAGTGT